ATCACATCGTATTTGCTTTACCTATTTTGCACATTTTTATTCCGGGTGTCCATTTTCGTTTGCCCTGCTGATAAAACAGTGGCGTCGAAAAGTCATGCATCAAAATGTCCACCGATGCTTCATTAAAAATGCTGCGAGAAAAATATGAAAGGCGAACACAGAACGCTATGTCTGTGTCTGCACTTTGAGCCTGTGTTCGTTAAAAGGAGTCCGATCACGACCTGTTATCGAATTTCACGTTAATTTTCAATAATTTCTTCGCATATCACATTGATCCTCGAGATTAATTCATCTCGGATAACGTGGAGACACGAGAAGATGTCTAGAGGGGTGACATATTTCGTCTAATTCGATTTCTAACCTTTTCACTCTGCATGTACACGAAATTTCGTTAAATTCCGAATTTTCCAGTTAATACTTTGACTGCCATGTTGGTCATATATGACCAGCCACGGTTTCTCTTGTGACGCCATAGTGGTCATCGGTGACCGGAGAACTTGAACTACATTGAACTCTATTGAATGAAAATTGTCAGTGAGTGCATTTTAAGTATAACCACTAATTAGAAGATACTTTGAAATAAGAAATGCCTCATTGAACAAATAAAAATTTTTGTTGATTGATGAACATTAATAAAAAAAAGGATAAATCTTGCACCTAGCGGTGCACTTGCGTGGCGTTCTAAGGGAAACACGTGATTTCGGTGTGGCAGTTAAAGGGTTACCATAAAGGGTTAAATGCCACACCGGTTTTATGTGCCATACCGTTCAGTCACAGTTAGCCGTTACGTGGGCCCTTTTGGGCCGTATGGACCGACGAGGCCTGAACGGAACGTCTAGCGCCGGCCCCTAGGGATGAATATCGGTTTAAAATAAAATCTAAAAATAATCGATATTGGTTTCTAAGCAATCCACTGTAGGGAGTTCTCCTCCACTGGTCGCAGGTATCCTAGATATTGCATCGGTGCTAGACGGGATCAAAGGAAAAAAAGGGGATGTGTTTCGTCCTGGGCCTGTTAGTGGACTCATCAATAAGGTTACCTAGTAGGCCCTGTCTTAGACGGGGATACTGTTGGAAGGTTTGGAAATTCCATATATGTAGGATCACTTTTGGTTGAACTGACTTAAGCTAGTATTGAGAACTTCTTAATAGAATAAAATAAGCTTGTAAATATTATAGAATGACAGCGGCTGGCCACTCTGGACGCATCCCTAAACTTTCACTCGATTCTATCATAAACATTCTTTGCAGTCAGTCCTCTTGCACGTGTTCACTTTCGTTCTAAGCAAAAACACTCTTGACATTCTTTCAGAGCCGCACTCATTCTATTCCTACATACAGGGTGTCCCAAAAAATGTATGCACACTTTGCGTGATTATAAATAAATTATATTTCTATTATAATAAATTACTATAAATTAGAAGGAATAAGGTATTAAAGTGTGTATACGTTTTCTTGGGACTTGTATATAGGAAACGGAGGATTTTTACCGAAGACTTGCCAGAAAATTCTCGACCTCCTTCAAGTAGGAATCCGTCTATCAGCTAGGGTGGGAATGATCTCGCTACACTTGTAACATACGAATACTTCCTTCTTAAGAAAGGAAGAGTAGGGTAGAAGTAGGAAGAATAGGTAAAGAGTAGCGTGGACTGTTCTCTTCCCAAGATGGCCGACGTCTCGAGATTTCTAGGGTTAAAGAGTATTCGATACGAAGGCAGACACAGTGGACGACAAAAGTGATCGCAATGAACGTGGAATCGTTGTTTAATGAGTGCATCGATACATTTCAGAAACAAAGAACAACGATAACGATCATTCGATATCGCTTTCAGAGCGAGGCTCCCGTAAGGTATAACCGGCTTCGATATTCGATAAAAGGGGCTGGATACCTTCTTCAATTATACCGTCCAATTTATAATCCCGTTTCGATCATTCTCCTCGCCGTTAATCGTGCCACGACTCGAGGAACAGCCCCGTGACCGGGGCTTGAAATCTACCGGACATCCAGCTTTCTTTTCCCCGTCTTCTTCGTTTTGTCAACGCCAAGAAGTTCGTTCCGCGAAGAAGCGTCCCAGTTTCGCCCGGCTTCCGTTACCCTCCTTGCAGATAATGCGAAAATAATCATCGTCGGTAACGAGAAAACTTCTCCACTGCTTTGCTCAACTCGATAATGTAAATACACCCAGCCCCCGGCCTGTCCCAGTCGAATTACAGAATCCTGGACACTAAGTGTTCAACCCCCTTTTGCGTTCCTCGTGTTCTTAAAGGAGACGACAAGATAGCGGCGAAGACTATGATTTTCCGAATTTTTTAAATTAAATTACCGTTATAATAACTACTGCGAATATCCCACCTTGGCATCCCTAAATGGGCCGTGAGGTCGGTATTTTTAAGGTTTATAACACGATCGTAAAGACAGACTATTTTAGAGTTGGACTTTAGGCATATTGGGGGGCAATGAAGCAAATGTTCTTTCAAATCTTAATTTCGTCCACACCCATTAATCAAAAGATGTGTTATAAACATTGGTAATTCAGAAGGGTCATCCTGAAGTTCCGCTAAGGGTAAAATACTATCGACGCTTCGGACTTGGAGGAATACCGTAACACTTGGGCGAATCCCGTGACCTCACATCCGCTCAGGTATCTTCCCACCCTTACCTAAAGAAGGGTGCATGAAAGGGTGATCACGATACACGGGATGCCGCTGATTGGGAAATTAACATTTCTTAAAAAGAGGAACCAGATAGCAACCAAAATTCAGACAGTCACATTCGAGCTCTCAAGGAGTCACATTTGAGTTTTCGAGGAGTCATATTTGAGCTTTCTAGGAGTCACATTTGAGCTTTCCAACTTTCAAGTCATTCACATCCAAACTTCAAGCAGTCATATTCGATCCTTCAGAGAGTAGAGGAGTCACATTTGAGCTTTCGAGGAGTCACTTTCCAACTTTCAAGTCATTCACATCCAAACTTCAAGCAGTCATATTCGATCCTTCAGAGAGTTAGAATGGCGACTCCGAGGACAGGAGTCAAGACGAAATAAGTTAACATTTGGGCTAGCAAACAAAATTAACAGCTCCCGACCGTAAAACGTCTAGAGCACCCCACGCTCTAGAAAATTTCCTAAGAAGGAAATAACTTCTACATTCGCAATGCGTGGTAACAATTACTACATAAATTTCACGTATATTCATCTGCGTATTCGTACGAAAAATTTCTAAACACTTTTACACGACTGATTGTCTATTAACAATTCCTTCGATTGCACTTAAAATCCTCTCGTCTAATCGATCGAATATGTCCACGAGTCTTGCCAAAATTAACGAAGAAATAAATAAAAAGGGAGTTTTAAAAATTCGCGTTTAAAAGCGAAACGAATACGACCCATTTAACCATTGGATCACTTCAAATTCAATTCTGCCTCGAAATCTTTTCATCGAAGATATATCTGTGGCAGAAAAAAATAATGAACTCGTAAGCTCGCATTCAACGAGGTCTCTCACACATCTGTAATTACCGGCCCCACCGTCATAGAGTTAGCCTGTGTATCATCACTATCGAAATAACAATCGAACAAGCAGTAATTGCATCCTTGATCGCTTATCGTTGGGGAACAACTCTCGTTTAATTGTTTCTGCTCCGAATGATTGCGTGATTGCCAGTTGTCGTGATTAATACTCGAAACGAATACAACGAAAGTAACCGTACGATCGATCGGGCAGCGCGAAGATTTAAATCGAGATCCTTAAAGCGCAGTTATTTCGTATGCAGTCGGAGAGAGAGCTTCGCGATATTTATTACCGTTCGATATTTATCGCCTTTGTAATTGCGTGCCTCCGCATAATATTGCCATTCGCGATCACTGTTATTCTATAAGGCTTTCGTAAAATGATTTCAGTCGAAACGAGCTATTCTCGTAAAAGTGCTTTTAATGCGTTCTAAATTCGCAAACACGAATCTTCGATATTGCAAAAGTTATTTATAACGTGGAAACCATAGATAACAGTGTACCCCGTTCCAACTTTCTTCGATTATTCAGCTATATTAATTTTTTTATTGGTTTCTTATTGGATTACAGAATGTTCGGATGAGGTAGAAAATAGGGGTATTTAAAAAATTCAAAAGAGAATTACACAGTCTAACATTGAAAATTCATAAGTTCTCACAAGTAAAATCTAGACTCTTCAAATTCGCGTGAATTAAACAAAATTCCAAAAATATACGTAATCACATCTAGAGATGGGGGATGAGGGGTTCATCACGTTTCACGAATCTATTTTAAAATCAATCAAATTTGGGCGAATTAAAGGGAAAGAAAAATCCAAAGACTCAAGGGTCTGTCGGCACCCAGAATAACTTAAAAAGCAAAGATTAACCCTTTCGCTACTACGGGGTGACTATAGTGACCGGCCACAAAAATTGAGTAAAAAATTAAGACAAGTGCTACTGTTCCTCTTGGCTCTCTTCGCAAAGAATTGCAAGCTCTATTGCGATGGTCGGTTTTTCTTTTTCCTTTTTTCTTCGAAAGATTTGCGTCAGAATGCTATATATACTATCGTAATGTTACCATTTTTGACAAGTCGTTTCGTTCCACGAGAGAGACTTCATGGCTGCACCCATCGTAGCGAAAGGGTTAAGTAGTATGTAGATCGTATACTATCCCTAATATTCTTTTTCCAACCAAACTTCGCTACCCCTATTTGTAAAAATTAAAATCGAAAAATAGGTTCCTCTCCATCGCGAAATCCACGAAACGTATCACCGTCACTCGAATCGAAGTCCCCGAAACATCCCCAAGCTTCGGACCAATTTCCCATATCCCTGAACTCACGTGACCAGTGTACCCTATGCACGCGACGATCCCCGAAGAACCGCATCGAACGAGTAGGCTAAGGATACGGCCATTTAACACGACGAACGGTTTTTCCTCAGTGGCAATTTGACATCTGTCAAACGGTTCCGCTAAACGCGCCAGGTATTAGAAAGTCAATGCACTCACCGGTCGTGTACATGGCGACACCCTTCAGGGTCACTGGCTCGAGAATGGCAGGCTCGCTCCTCCCCTTTGCATTAATCGCGTACAGAAAAAGTCGATAACTCCTTCCTGTCGTTAGGCCTGCCACCTCGAAAGTAGGCCCGCCTGGGCTGGCCTGAACGGTCTTGTTCAGCAAGATAGGCCCGCCATCCTCGTCCGCGACCACCTCCAGCTGGTAGCCGGAGATCGGAAGCCCACCGTCGTAGCCCTCTAGGCAGCGGACTATCAGTCCTGTTCCGGACTTGGCGGTCAACTCCTCAGCGTCCAAAGGCGCCGACATTTCCGTCGTGCTGCAGTTGTGCAAAGCGTACGGACGTCCTGCGGCTATCACCTGCGAAATACGGTCATCCGGCTCTGAGTAATCGATGTATGGATGTGTTTGAACTTGAGTCGAAATTTTAGAGCGAATTTTCATTCGAAAATTTGAGATATATCGATACCAAACTTGCCACAGATTACACGACCATCTTTGAAATCCCGTATTCAGTTTTAAGGCTTCGATCATCTCGCTACGTGATTCGTCTTTGAGTATACGTGTAATCGATTCTTCGATATTTCCCGAGTTTGTATAAGGCTAAGAAAAATTCAGTGGCATGTCTGAGTATTATTGCCTGCAGACAAATTACAGTTCAAGGGGATGTTAAGGCAAGACCAGTTCGATTTTGAGTAATTTATTTCTCCTGGAAGTTATGGCATGGACTTGGCCTGACAGAGGTCCGACAGTGTAATGACAGGGGGTTTTAACAGACTCGATGATCGTACATTTCAATCTTCTTTTATGTAGAGTTTAAGGGACAGCTAGATAGGGATGGTATTTTGAAAGGGAAAACCGTTTCTGCTGTTCAATTTTTGATAAAGCGTGGTAGATATTCAACTTGTAACGAATCATGGTGACTCTGCATACGAGAGAAATATCTTTCGTCATAAATTTTGGTTAAAAAGAAATTCTTGCTACCGAATTATAAAAAGTACATATCATTGCTCATTAATATATCAAAATTTTGTTATACTAGTATTAATAACATTCGATTTCAGTCAGAAATATGTTCATTTTATAATTTAGTTTTATCTGTGTATTAGATAAGTAGGTGCTATTTGCACAATAGTTCTGCTATATCTGTATGTATAACGAATACTACGTGATCGAGATAACTACGCTTAGATTGAACAGATCAATGTAACAATCATGTGGTATTGTGTTGACTTAATTAATTGATAGAGCTTGATTGATGGGGTTGATTGTAACCGATGCATCAATGCCTATAGTTACTCGTTACTACAAACATTAATGTACAGAAATTGCCCAAAGAAGAAAGTATTTTCACCTGATGTCGCTGTTAATTCGAACCAAAGTAGCATACATAATTTCTAATGACCAATTTGCTAATTACAACCATAGGTACGGTAAAGATCCAATTATGTAACAAAGAAAATCTTTAATCTACTCTTTATATTCTATAGAAAAATATGTATATAGTGAATACCCTATATTTACTTCCATTTGTTTCTTTGCTTTTTTTATTGTTATTTTTATTTATTATAGAAACATATGTATATAGTGAATACCTTATATTTACTTCTACCTGTTTCTTTGTTTTTATTATTATTACTATTATTATTATTATTATTATTTATTACTTATACTATATAGAAACATATGCATATAGTGAATACCCTATATTTACTTCTATTTGTTTCTTTGTTTCTTTTATTAATATTATTATTATTTATTACTTTTGCTATATAGAAACATATGCATATAGTGAATAGTCTATATTTACTTCTATTTGTTTCTTTGTTTCTTTTTATTATTATTATTTAATAGCAAATTCCATAGAAAATAATATTTTAGAAAGAAGAAATATCGAAACATGGAAAAAATGAAAAATGATACCTAAAGAGATAGGAGTGTTATGTATTGTACATAGTGTTACGTATATAGTGGATTATACTACTATTATACTACTGGATATTTACAAGAAAATTGGTATAAAAAAATTGAAATATCGCACTATGAAGAAATATGAGTAAATTAATTAATTTCTCCTGTAATTAATTAACCCCTTTGTCTAGAATATTAGTGTGAGACTCGTAGTAAGGAACTCGTGCGAAACACAGGTATCAGAGGCGAGAGGCGTGGTTTGTAGACCGCGCTCATGTAAACATCACGGGCTAGACTCATGGTTAAATTTCGCCGATGTCTTTCTGTTTCAGTTCAGTGTTATTCTTCGCTGTGTTTGGACGACATGTTTCGACGTGCGACCGACTCTGCTGCTGACTATGGCACGCGCCATCGGAACCCTCGTCGCAGGACAAAGGAATAATCACTGTGAGTACTCTGTTTCAATAATCCTATTAGAATTAGATGAAATGGAAATGTTTATTCGAAAAAAGATAAATATCAAAGAAAGGGAGGAAATATCTCGAATAATAGGGACCTCGAGTATTAAATATTAGAATACATACGTCGCTCGAAATTTGAAATAGGAAAAATTAGGAACGCTAGGAAAACGGTGAGAAACGAAACAGTGAATAGACAGTAGGAGCACAGGTGGACTTAGGTATAATACAAAACGGTATATTTAACAGCAAACAAAAGCAGGCACGATTCCAAAGATAATTCCACGATTTAACCAACGCGAAACGGGGTCCACACAATCGTTTTCTCTCTCAAGAAACATAAAAAATCCCCTAAACAAAAACGGAAACAAATGTACAGCTTTCAAGCTTCAAATACGATATATTTGAACGAAATTTTTATCGTAATCTTGATTTAGGGTGCTCGAACATGCGATAAAAATTTTATCCAAATTTCTTTTGAAATTGTCATACTTATTATGAACCTACTTTAGAGTAGTGACATATGTCATATTCATTCCTGACACTAGCAATGATGTACGTTAGGTTGACTCCGTGTCATTACAATAATAGCGACTTGACGTTAAGTTGACGCCCTATCAATACTAATGACTTTAAGTAGAATAATAAATAATAAAGTCTCAATGCAAGTAGAGTAACCTGCATCTAACGATAAGACAAATTGCTGTCAATTTGACTTCGAGTCATCACTATTGACGGGGAATCAATTTGCTGTCAAATCACTACTATTGATAGAGAGTCAATTTAACGTCACGTTATCACTAGTGCCATGAAAGTAGTTACAAAAATAGTGGTCACCACCGAAAGATTAAAATCCGACATTCACTTCCGAATTACCAAATTCATTTATTCCGAACAAAATTAAAATTTGAACGAGTTTTCCAATATAGATAAATCTCATAGCATTACTAACCAGGTTTTCGTTCCCATTTCACTGCCCATATATCTGCCTCACCTCGATAAACAGATATTTAAAAAAGCAAGCAAAAAGCACCGTTCGAATGGAAACATTTCACCAACGTTTTCATTCGCTGCCTAATACATGGTCGATGCATCGTGTTAGATAGCATCGAATATACGAAAGTCCACAGCTATCAGACATCTCTAGCTAGATCGAACGTTTTCCATTTTCGAAGAAATTCGATTCCGGACCATTAAAAGCAATTCTGTGTTTGCACGTTCAATCTGCAATGACGCCCGTCGCATTCGAATAACGTATCGACGAAGTGGCGTTCGCATTTCTCTCTAATAGAACCAATTCTCGCTGCTGATTTTTCCAACTACGGATCTGCCTTGCAAGATTCATACGCATCGAATCCCCCTGCTCTCTCCCTCTTTCTCTCTTTCTCTCTCTCTCCATTCCTCGTACGTTCACGCAAAACCACCTGGAGCATTTATGAAGGGGAAATCGGACATTCTATTAACCGATAATTGAGCTAATCCGACTGGCACACTTCGCCTGGAATGTCGATCGTTGGAAAGGCTGATGAGGGATTTAAGCTTGAAGAGGATCTTCGTGGACTCTTTATTTGAGGCTGACTGCATGCGCGTATTGGTAGGTTGATTTTTAATTGGTGGAATTGGATGATGAAAGTCGTTAATCGTCGAGAAAAGGGGATGAAATTGGTCGAAGGTTGGTTCGAGTAGAGGGGATACAGTATTTTAGCGGATATATTGGATTGGTTGGAAAATAGTGTTGCAATTTTTAGTATAGTATAATGATCGTTTTCTTAAAGCAGGAAAGGTTATATCAGATATCTCGTGAATCCTCGATTAATGCGCGATTATGTTTAATAAGCAATGAGGCACTGCTTAGTGGCACAGAACAAAGCAGCACCATCTGGTGTCAAAATCCGGTACTACTTATTGATTAATCTAGCAGTTAGAGGTCTAATTTTATAGTATGTCTATTTTAGTAACAATACAGATCTGAATTAATATAAATTAATATAAAACAGGGGTGTGTTTATATGTATCGCGATATTACGTCTATAAATTTTAAATAAATATAAATATTTTGATAAAATATAGATAAATATATTACGGATAATATAAATTGATGGCGTAATTGTAAATAAAATATAGACGGATATTTTGAATAGGTGTAACGTTTCTTCGAAATATCGTTTCGTGGATACACGATAATGCAACGATTTAACAATTGCGCGTTCTATTTTTGAAAATGGACGAAATTATCCGCACAGAGGGCATCGTTCATGGAAAAGCGAATAATGACTGCAGAAGATAAGCGTATGCATGGAATAAATTTCAATGCTGAAACTTGCACCATTAATTCGGTTATTTTAAGCAGCAAAGCAATAATTTCAACGCCCCTGCGATGGCATCGGTGTATCTTCCGCTGCAACAATGGCGTTCCTCTGTTAGCAATGGCAAAGTCACGTATCAAGTTTCATTTTCCATGGTTCGTTCGTTCGGAAGATATCGCAACTCACGCACACACGATTGCCCCGACATCACATCCGAAAATGGTCAAATCGTGTTCCGTGCTCAAAATGTGCGCGTTCGCCGAAAGTCAAAGTCGAATTTTTTTTATCGTGGATAGAGTACAAGGTGGTAGAAATAAAATGGAAAATACGCGGAACGAAATAAGAACAGTGACAGCTGTGAAAATCTAACAGAGGGATTTTTTTTTTGTTTCGAAATTTTGTTCTCGAAATTTTTTACATTTCTGCCTTCGTATAACAGCGTGGTAATTTTTCTTTTTTAGCTTGAGAAATATTTTATGTTACGAACACCATCTATACATATGTGTTTCAAATATAAAAATTAAACCTAATACCTGATACGTAGTATATTAAGTATTATATGATTTTGTAGGTATATTTTAGAGGTGTACGTGATAAACAAATTGTAGATTAGAAAGATAGAATAGAGGTTAGGGAAGAAACTAGATAGATTATGTCTCATTAATAACCAATTTAACCCTTTGCACTGGACGATTTTTGGCTAACGAAGAATAGGAGTTCAAAGATTTTCTGTTACAAAGCTGACGATATTTTTCTAAGCAGTGAATAAGAAGTCGTATGATAATAAACACGTAGAATTATTTGATTTCAATAGAAATTTTATCAAATGTCCACTGAAGGGCGCCTCTCGAGCGCAAAGGGTTAAAAATATTCGTTGTTGTCATCCATACAAGACTAATAGTATCCCCCTCCCAAATACATTTTAATTTTGTATTATTTTCTCATCTACTATGTTCTTCTAATTAAACCTCTTGTATCCAAAAATCTCAGAATCTGGAATAATTTTATTTCCTCTTTATTCCCTATTTCTCACAGAAGCCTTGGATCAGCTCTCTTATTAGTCTTAGACAAATTAATACCCGCAGAGTATATCACCGAAACTCGTTTAACAAAAGTCGAAACAATCCCTTCAATAGCTCCTCAAGTTACTCTTCAAGTAACTGCCTTTATCATTACCTTCTTCATTAATACTCACAAAATTGAGTCAAAGGATCATACCGCATGATTAGTCGAATAAGGAAAAATGTCGAAAGTCTTCCTTAGGATAGAGCATATTGTAAATAACATCACGCAGACAGCAATTTCGAAAATTACAAACTGCGACGAAGTGGAAACGAGAGAAGTGCATTTACCTGAAAGAGGCATGGCGTCCGTTGCTTGCCAACCTGGTTGCTCGCCCAGCACGCCACCGTGCCGTAGTCCATTTCCGTTGCGGGTGTGTAGTTCAGCCTGGACCCGTGGAATTGTTGGTACTCCTTCAGGCTTTCGGCGACTGACGGGGTCCCGACCGCTGCCGCGTGAGAGTAACGAGAATGAGGGACCTCCACAAGCTCCCCGGAATTATTGAATGTCCAGTGGAAAATCAACGGTGCCGGATGACTCTCCACGGAACAGACCAAAGATACGGTCTCTTGCTTCAGCGCGCCGACCACCACCTCGCTCTTGCCCTCTTTGCACACTGGCGTGTCTGTGAACCGACGTCGCGTTCCTTTTTATTACAACCTTCGAGAATTTCGCGTGGACAAAAGCCTTTTGCGCTAGCTAGCGAATTGTTCAACTCGCTCACTTCTTAGGAATGAAATTTCGCTGGTCAGAGACTTGGGAATTAGTTGGCATGGATCAATTTTTGCTTCCGGTAGTTTTGTTAGATTATTGGATGGCTAATATAGGTTTCTTGGTATAGGAGGTGAAAATGAGTAGATATGTATGCGTGTTATTTTATTTTCTACGATTATTCAGTAGCTTTCTATTGAATTCCTATTTGGTTCTTATCGGACGACTTGCCGCGGAACTCACTAGCGCCACCGTGGCTCGTATCTACAGAAAGTGTACTAGAAAGGTCTATATTATATAAATATCGTAAATATCGTTGAATTATTTTCTGATTTCGCTGAAATAGTTTTAGTTCTTCCTCCTTGCTACATATATACTATATTATTTCGAATATTCCTTGTGTGAGTATATACGTGTTCTTGCATAAATGGTGGAAATGTGGAACATTAGAAATAGGGAACACATAATGAACTTAGTTAAATTATCTATTATTTTAGATCATATTGTCATTACAAGTTCACATTATTAGATAAAAATATCACAATTTATTTCCCAAGAAAAATTTAAATTTTTCAGTACACGAATACAGTTTAATTGAAAGGAAAATAGAAGGTAGCAAATTATTTACGCACAGTAGCAACAGTCTATTTTATACTGCGATATATTTTTCCTCGAATTCTATTTATTTATATTCGGCAAATTTTTAATCGTCCTACCTCGACCACTGACCCAAAGTGAAATTCAATTTGCCGAGTTCAAACGCCAATACATCAACAACGATATAAAACGACGTAAAATATGAGCTTTAACCTGATCGTACATGTATCGCAGATCCGAAGCCGTAGAGTATAACAAACTGAAACAGTCATCCGGATCCAATTGACCTAATACGGGGTAAGTTGGACAGCAGGGTGGTTGTGTAGCCAGTTTCAATGCTGCGAACGTCTATGCAGATATCGCCCCGTTTCAATTTAACCAATTCGAGAGCAACTTGACACTTGCTGAGGTAATCACTTATCGTTCGAGCACGTATTCGCGCTGAAAATTAATTGTTTTCGAGCGAATTGGTCATCGTTACCTCTCAGACCGGTTTAATTGAGTCCTGGGAACGCTTAAACTCCACTACTTTGCCCTGTCATCTGTCAGATTCTGCCAAAAGAATCGAACTCTGTATTCCATCGACTGCTTCGCTCCTAGTTAATTTAAAAATTTCAGAATAGCTCTGCATGTCCCTTATTTAGAGATTCTAGTAATCACTTTACAACTGCTTTGGGATGAATAACGTTTTATTACCCTGTAACGTGTAAATATAACTAAGTAACAATCCGTGTTAACGGTGTAACTATTTCACTCGGATTTCATTGTTCGAACAGCAACCTATATTTGGACTGACCTAATAGATATCTTGGATCTTACGCGTCTAGAAGTTACAGGCTGAACTAGGAACTGCTGAATTGAAATCCAAATCTAGATCTTCCGCTTCAAGGATAATTATCTTATCTAGCTACCCTATTTAAACTGTGGACAGAATCTCTTGCATGAATTTCATTCAAGTGTTCACTTACCGATATTTATACGATTCAGAGAATTCATCGCATTATTGCAATGACAATTTACCGTATTTAGCAGCAGGATTGAATATAACAACACGGTAATTTATTATAATAATTATCGTAGGATACTATTTCGGGCCAATGCCGACTCGGGATTTCTTATTTTAGAAGAAAACAAATTATGAACCGATCGATGGCCTATGCGTCACATTTTCTACAAGCAAATGGAAACAGATAGCGTTATGAAAGACTATTTTAGGTAGCAAAGCTAAATTGCGTGGTCTCTACGGAGAGGTGAAACGTAGATTAACAAAATCGTAATCGTCGCGAAAAATAACATGCTTTTTATGGAAGCAAATCGCTAATGGGCTGAATCATCTCAGTCAACTAGCGATTGGAAAAACGCTCGTCATCGAGCTTTTAGAAAAGCATAAAATAGGATCCTGATGACACAGGCAGAGTCCTTAGTGAAGAAGTGTTAAGGAGACTTCGTAGAAATACATTGTGACGGGCGTGAGTCGTTCGGTGTTGGAGAGAGTCAAATTAGAGTGTGCTTCCATGTGTTATAGTTACGTTATTTTAGTGTTCTTTTCCTGCGTCATATTAGTTTTCCGAGTTTAGTGTTCGTATTATTCTGTTGATATTGCCCTGTCCGTTTTTGGTGTCTCAAAGCCTTTTGTACAGACCTGCTGATTGGCTAGTGTGAAATGTAAGTGGTGAATGTGTGTCTCTCTAATGGTTGTCCATAATATCGGGGGTGTGTGTTAGCTTTGATGTCTTACAGTGGTGGTGGATGCCTAAACAATTTAGGTCCCTATGCCCATTGTTTCAAGGATTTATTGACCCTTGCTAAGATTCACCCAAGTGGTGACCAGGTGATAACAAGTGTATACTAATCAAGGGACTCTGGTAGGACACAAACAGTCCTCCACTTAACTTGGGACACGAGGTCCTAGAGCCTCGACAACCTAACCTCCAATAAAAGTTAAGAAGAAAGATTTTCTTCAACAACAGATCACAGTACTCGACATTCACACGCCACCTAAACGAATCAGCTGTTAACCTAGCACGAGTTATAAGAATTCTTCCATAATCCATCCAGGCTACCTAATCTAACCTCTACCACTGGTTCATTTTTTCGCGCGCTGTAAATCACGATAAAGGCGGAAGTTAGACACAGAAGGTGGCGCTCGCGGGAGCGTTTAGTATCCAAATGTGAGACGTAGGCGCGTGAAACGGAAGAAGAAGCCCGACACCGCTGAACCAACGGCTGGTTCGATCGATCGCCTAATAGGAAATTCCCTTGACATCGGTATTTGCAATAGGCCATGGCATACGGAAATTCCAAATGGCACGAGGGATGATTTACGGCGGAAGTACGGGATCACCAGGCGGCTCGGTTTCAATCTGATGCGTTTGATGCACTACCGAATTAATTACTAATACGAGAAGTCGACGATACTGGATGCGCGACGTATAGCCGGGAACTGCATTTGTCGAGTGAAACGCACGGCGCACCGTCGCTGATTAGTACGCGTTACCAGCCGCCTCATGCTAATCAACATGCGTATAATGCTGTTTTACGAATGCGTTGTAAGTCGCTGGGCTGGTTCAGGGAACAGGGATCTGCCTTATGTGGAATTTGCTTGTCGGAGTTATTAGCGGAATCAGATTGCATCAAAAGGTCCCTTGATAGGTCTGCTGAGATACTTGGAACTGACGATGAACTTGGGAACGCGAATCTCGTTAGGGATTCAGCGATGAAGTTGATCATGAACACAGCAGTATCGAATCCTTCATAGGATCTTCTCGCCTTTCATAAATATTAACACTCGCGTGATGAACGTCGCGTATGTCTGGTGGCAACCCCACGTTTTGCGGATAAATAGTGTGGGATAGCTTTGGAAGATAGACGTTAGGGTCTTTCAATTATCAAATCCTAAATGCCGAACAGTACGTGCGTCGGTGTTAATTAGTCGGTTAAGAGTTAGTCAATCGTCAGTTGCCTAGTGAAGAATTATCAGAGTCTTCATCTTTAGCACCTCACTTCACCAGCTTTTACCTTGGTCCTTCATAACGTTCAGATCTGGTCCGGGATTCTTACATTATTTTGGAGTCGGTATTTTTACAATAGATTCTATAGACAATGTATCATGCGAAATGGATCAAACCTGAGACTCTAATCTTCTTAGGACCTGTGATCCTCAAATGCGAAATATTAGCTTTCATCAAGGTGATTACTCTAGCACCATGAGGGTTGCTGAACGGATCCACTGGTATGATCGTGTAGTCGTCATAAACCTGGATTCCCTAGAAGCCTGTCTGATTCGGGTATCAGTGACAGCTGAAATTACACATGCATTACGTCGAAGAGTTTATCGAACATGTCTCTCTGATCAGATTCGCAGTCAAAATTTAGGAATTCCAATGGAATTAAAGCAATTTGGAGTTAAGAATATCGGAAAGTTTAACGCGGAACGAATGCAAATGCAAGACACACGAACAGAAATTGGAATAACAGAGCAGACGAGTGTAGTCCAAATATTCTAGAAGAGGCTTTCAGCTCACAGGATTTCCCCGTGTCTCTGTTACTCTCTCCAATCGCCTAAATCTGACACAGTGCTGAAATTATCAGCACGTCATGAAGACCTGGTATTCGGGAAGCTCGTCAACAAGGGTAACACGATTTTCGGAATTCTTGAGTGACTCGACTCAAGGATCAATGTCAACGGTCCAACAGCGTCGTCTGACGGCGGGGTTAGGCTAAAACATTAGGACGAATTCGCGGTTCCCTTTAACTCCGCGCACTCCCGCCGTCGGCCTGGCTTAGCACATTGCCAGGCTGCGTTCACCCACACATGAATATTCAGATACGCTTTACATACATTGAATATGCATCGCAGTCCTTCCTTCCCTCTTAGGTCATTTACAAGATGCAGATACGCCGGGCTACCAGCGCCGACCATTCTAATAGAATAACTCGCGCTGTGTGTTTTACAGAAAACTATCCACCCTGTCCTCACCCTGTCCTCGCCCTGTCCACCTCGGCCCACAGCCTTCTCCTTCGCGTCCCCTTTCACGCCGATGCTCTCCAACCAGAGGCGACAGACCCTTTCCGATTCCCTTCATCCTCGTACGCGTACTCTAGACCCCTACTTGCCTCGATTAAGTAATTATCGAGTTGGAGTGAGGGGGACTGGCAAATTAGAGAACTGGTCAGAGAATATCAAGTCCAGGACACAATTCTAATTCGCCACACAGTTGGGGTGAGGAGGACTGGCAAATTAGAGAACTGGTCAGAGAATATCAAGTCCAGGACACAATTCTAATTCGCCACCTCTTCCGTTGTTCTTGTAATTAACGAGTGGCAAGCCAACGGGACGCTTTTGTGCCAAAGGACACTTGTCGGATGTTGACAATTGTTTGCACGAAATTTTACCCGACTCGTCGTCGCGGTTAAGTTTCATTGGTCAATTATGTCGAATTCGTGAAGATAATGGTGAATCAATTGGAAGTTAGTGAGGTATACATGAAGGGAATGTGCTTTTCTTGCTTGGGGTACACAGGAGTAGTAATTTGATTAAAGTATAGCGAAGATTAAGTATAATATAAAATAAAAGAGCAATATTCGATTGTGCCAATAAATTTTACGATAAATTTCTCTATGTGTTCGAGATTGAAACGAGGGGGCTGCAATTAACCCTTTGCACTCTAGAGACGCCCTTCAGTCGCCATTTGATAAAATTTCGAAGATCGATAGTAATCGAGATGTTAAATTTAAAATAATGTAACGGTGTGCAATATATCGAAATCAAATTTTTCTACAAGATTTCTTATTTACTGCTCAAAAATATATCGTCAATTTTATAGCAGAAAATCTTTGAACAGATTTGAAATGGACTCCTACTTTTCTTTAGCCAAAAAATCGTCGAGTGCAAAGGGTTACTATTATAAAATAAAAGTTTCAAGGAGTAGAGATAAATAGTTGACTCGTGAATTTTTGAACAAATTATTGTTCACGGATAATATCGTAAATTAATCATCGAAAAATTCCGTTTGATATTTATCATCGCACAAGTATCATCGAACGCAATTTCCTGTATGGTATTAAGAGAGTGGTTCATTGAATGATTAACGACAAATTTATTGCTATATCGACGAGCAAATAGGAAATTGAAGTGGAAGCGGAAATTGGAGAGACCGAAGTAAGAGATACGTGAACTCACACATTATTTGAAGAGTCACCGGGTTACTGGCAGTTTTCCCTTCGCTGTTGGCAACAAGACAAGTGTAATCACCCGCCGAGTATCGGGTTATACGCTGAAGAACCAGAGAATGATCGCTGAGGACGATACCTGCCGTGGCATTGTTTTTAAGCTCTTTGCCCTGGAACAAACAACACTTTTCTCCAATATCTTCTACCCGTGTAACGGTAGAAGTCGATGTTAAAACACGTTAGACATCAACATTTGTGCACTATAAAATACTATAAAATATATCATACACTTCGTGAATATATGTCCTTTTTTAAATATAGATTAGGCATGTCTCTTTCATGTCAAAATTTGTTTCCTTTTGACAAAAATCATTTTCAATGATTGGTATTTTAGTTCGAGCTTTTGCTTACCTGCAAAACATAGATTTTATCAATTTTTCTCTGAAATATAATACAATTATATTATTATACATTATAATACACAATTATATATACAATTGTATATTATAATATATTATAAATTATATTATATTATATATGACAGGGTTCTTCAATCTTTTCTAACTTTGCAAAAAATTTATGTAATTATTTGCGTAACATTAACACTTTAATGGCCGCTCGCACAACATGCGTGTGATGCTACCGCCGATTAATAATTAATAATTATCACGCAAAGGAAAAATATTAAATTTGTTGTTAAATTGTTATTATTCTTTGTTTTATGCGTATGTTCGCACATGTTGTATTATTTCGTAAATTTTGAACAGAGTTTTACTAAATTAATTCTTCAAAAATATTGCTGGCCCCTGGCAACGTTTGACTGCGTAAACGTGTCGCCATTAAAGTGTTAATCAATTTATAAATACTCGGAATAAGTATTTTCGCATCCTCATTATGACATCCTGCTAGAAAAATAGGATTAATTATATTTTCGAAAAATTTCTAATCGCTGCATTCTCGATTTGGGAGTATTACGAGAAAAATGGTTGATTTATCTTATGGTAAAACACAGCTATAGTTTTTACTTTACTTAGCAATCCTCTTAAGGCGAGTATCACGTAGGGACTTACGTCTTTGAACCAGGCGAGCTTGTGCACTTTGGGATTAGCCCTGACGGAGCACTCGAAGTAGACGTCGTCACCCTCTTTGATATCGTCCGGATTCAAGGTCTTGCCCATCTTCAGGGTCACCACCGGCTGATACTGCACGTCCAGCCTCCAGTTGTCCTCCAGGGCGCTGAGAGGGATGGCCGGGTTCACCGCCCGGCAGGTTAGGTATTGGCCATCGTCGTCGATGCTTGGCACGAAACTCAGGATACTGAGGCTCTGATTATTTTCCAGCGCGTACTGCCAGTAAAAACGTGTCCCAATTTTAGTTACGATCGCGGAAACGATCGAATGTTTCGATGCTGAGCGCGGCATATAAGTTACGGTAAATGAATCATTTTTATGGGTTGTAAAACATGGATTATGTATTAGGATCGAACACGTCACAGGCTATGATGCGAATTTTTCATCAGGTTTATTGAAACCTGATGCAATATTCAATTATACATGATCGTTATTTTGATATTGGTTATGAGAGGGTCTTTAGTTCTCTGGGTTAGATTATGAACGTTTTAATAGTATATATAGCTATTAAATTTATTTTTACCTACTTAGCTATTTTCCTTTTTCTATTTTTCTTTCTGAATCGTATAAACGATCCCTTCATAAATGCAATTATTCTAGATAGAACACTTCTTTATATTTATACATAGTCAAGTTATTATTTTAGCTTAAATAAATTGGAATAATATTTATTAATTGCAAATATATTTGTTCACAGCTCAGAAGATGCAGAATAAGGGAGAGAAAGAGAGAGGCTACATATTCCAAGAAGAATCATGGAATCATACGACAAAAGTGAGTAAAATATTTTAAAACAGTTAATTAACCATGTTATATCGAGTGTCCCAAAATTCACGCAAGAAGTAATTCTGATAGAGAACACAGGTTTTTAATTAAAAATTGTAAATATTGCTCAAGTATAGCGCTTCATTTTTAATTACCCTGAACTGTCAGTTGTCACGCTATCTTTTTTCCTTCGTTGGCAGCACTTCACAAATGTTGTAGAATTCAAATCTTGCGTGAATTTTGGGATACGTTAGAAACAAAGTTTCTAATACATTAAGTACATAATACAGTACACAATTAAGTACTCTAATATTTAAGAAAATGCGATAGTCACAGTAGAATTTAAGATTTCTAGACTTAAGATTCCCTCGTTGGCAACACTTTATCTCACAAATAGCGCATAATTCGAATCTTGCGTGAATTTTGGGACACTCTATATATTTAATGTTAAATCAGATTCGTAGCTTAAGTTGTTCCAACTGTACCCAAATAAGTTGTCACCCATAATTCCATATGTAGAACACAAATTAATCACTTCGGTTAGGTATCAATGAATTCATCCAAAAATTGTCTTAAATAACAGGAAGTGACTCCTTGCATAGTAAGGGGGATTCTTAGAGAGGGGAGAAAAATAACAAAACGATATTTCTCCTCGCTACACCCAATCCGATATTTCCATGCACCCGCAGAGGGTTGGACAGAAGCAACATGCCAGGAATCTTCCAAAATTCGTGGCCCTCGATCAGCCCGCTATCTGCTGCTACCCCTGACAGTACCATGCATCGTCTCTACGAACAACTTCCTCCCCGCGTGTATCCCATTAACCTCTATCCACCCCTTACGAACTATCCCCCGATGCAGCCAGGATTAACGTTTCCGATTTCGCGCGATCAAACGGTAAACAAATTTCACGCACAGCACACCCAGCACGTGCGACCGATACCCTCGTAGCCTGTAACGTAAACGAAGGCATCCAGGCGATTTGTCACTGGTTTAATATGAAAATCCATTCGGCACCGGGGCGCATTGCCGCGCAAGAGAAATGAGAAAATAAAGGGGCTCGACGTGGCTAGAGCAGGGGAGGGGACGAAAAAGAGATTAACGATTTTTCAGAATTTACGATGCAGTCGCGTGGAATCGAGGAAAATGTAGGCCGAGAGCTGTGCAGAGGGCAGGCAGGTCGATGACTGTCTCTCCCGGCTCGGTTCGAGCTTTCTGTTTCTCTTATAGCGTAACCTTCCGTTTCCGCGATGTCATTTTAATGATAGCGCCACCAGGCATACATATCGAGAAAAGCCGCGTATTCCGCATGAGTATCGCGAGTACGATGAATGGGACTAACGGTTCGTCAGGATGAATGTCGCGAGATACCATTCGCGTCTCTCTTGCTCCTCGCCCCGTTCGCCAGCTGCCTCTTTGTCTGCCTCTTCCCACTCACTGGCTGTCATTCTCCGTTTATTTCGCTCGTTTTTCGTCCCGCACCATGGTTACTCTCTCGTTTTTGCGGAGACTAGGTATAGATCGAATTTCTCGATAAAGCCACGCGAATGGTCGACGTTCATGCAGGTACCGGGTAGAGCTCAGGAGGTAGCACATGCTAGTAGGGTGAGTGTGATTGCTCACGGTGGAATAGGTGACCAATCTACGTTCTTTGATGTGATACAATCGAGAGAAGTGTCAAATGGGCGAATAGAATTATATCGGATCGTGCAAGAGACTGTATAGACTGACAGGAGATCAAATGGACCTGGTAGATAGGGATTAGGGTAGATCCAGGGTCTGTGTTAACTGTTTGATCCAAGATAAAGGGTGTCGATATAAGTAATTCTAGGTAGTATTGAAGATAGAATTACGAGGAACTGAATATTCCTCTTGGTGTGTACTGTCCTCGGTAGGTACCTCTGAGCTCTACAATGGGCTCAAAAGTGTAAGGGGGTAATGATATTCAACAAGAACTGTCTGCTAATACTCTTTTCTAAGAACTGTCTCTCAATAACTCCTCTCAATAGACTGTCTAGGATCTGTCCTGTACGCTTCTTGACCTGCCCTTTTAAGGATGGGACTCCGGTTATCATTGCTACGTGCTCCTCACTCACGCCGCCTTATCGGTAACCAGAGCTCGCCTAATCTTATATATTCTAACAAAAGGAAGATGGCGAGTGAGCTACTGGAGCCCTCTGTCATCTTTCATGGATGCAGCAATGTCGTGAAACTTGAATAGACTTGCAGCGACCACCATTTCTCATCCTCGGCACTAGAGGGATTCCGACTTCGAAAACTTTCTCGCAAGTCCTTGGAAAACCTCCAAAACCCTGTATATATATAACTTCCGGTCCTTCCAATAGTAGCCCAGTCTAAGACAGGGTCTGTTAAAAGAAATCCTTACTGATGAGTTCACTAGCAGGCCCGGAACGAAACGCTACCACCCCTTCTAGCTACACCACGACACACGGTGGATACTTGCGTCTAGCCCGATATTAAAGACCATGGGGGACCCCCATAGATCCTAGAGAAACTTTGGAAATCTCTTTGGTGAATGGTACAAGACAAGTAGGATTTTTTGAAGAACTCGTGAGGCTTCTGATCTCTGGTACTCGTTGCTTTGAAGAGGTAGCAGTATGAGCATTCGAACACATCTACCTGTACGAATTAATATAGAGGGAAGTACAAATATAAAGTATATAATTCTGTTTTGACATCTCACTGTTCCATTTGTGTCGAAGAACTTCAGTGTACCTCAGTCGTTGACACGTTGATTTATTGCAAATAACCAGAATATCAAAAAATGTCGAGCAAAGCAAAAGTGGTTCTATTACACCATGGCAAATGACAAAGGACAAGTGGTCAGGCCACTTCCCCAGCTCCGCACAGTAGGTCAGGATTTGAATAATCACCGACAGATTTATCGAAGAATAATTTTCTTCGTTTCGGATAGACGTAATCGATCAATGTTGACGTTGTGTCTTGCAGTTGTTATCTTGCAACCATCGAGTTCGGCTTTCCGAAAGTCGTGCGCGTTTTTTGTCTAATAAAGATGAAGTATATGATTACGACGAGCATGCATGCAAATGCGCATGTACCCGATGGACATGGTATAATGCGGTCGTAAATTAAATAAGCAATGACTGGCAGAAATTAATGCAGCAGAACGTCGGATAGGTCATTGTATTCTGAAACGTTGAAGATAAATGTCGTAGCGAAATTAGTGGAAACTTATTTGGCTGTAACAAATAGGCTTCATTTTATAATAATATCGAACTAGCTTAAATTAAATTTAGGTTATTATAAATATATTATATTACATTATATATATAGTGCTGTTATGTTAAACAGTTATACATAATTTTTGCTATATATATTAGAAATATAATAAAAATCGCAAGGTACCTATTATATTAAAATAACAATAGTTTACAAATTTTTAATATGATAGGTACACCCTGTAGCGACCAAGGTTCGCACTCTCGCCGCTAGATGGAAAGCGGAGGTTCGAGGTTTCTCGCAAGTCCTCGGTGACGCCTCGACTCTTATAAGTACAAGTTCTTAACGTACCTATTTAAGTATTACTGACGAGTCCACCAGTAGGCCTAAGACAAAAAACGCATTTCTTCTTTGCGTCCCTTCTATTTGCTACCTATCGTAGCAAGGCGACCAATATAGGATATCCAAACCGGGTGTAACACCATAGGAACCACAAAACTCTCTCATACCCCCATGGGGGGACCCCATAATCCTTATCCAATCTCTCTTCTACAGCACAGAGCTCGTTCCCTTCCAAAGTTTCAAAAACCCAATCTTAAAATTTAAAATACACACCTAGATAGATATCCCTAATAGGATCAAATAATCACATAATTCTTCACAAATACAACATAGAAGGGTGAACTTCACAAAGACAAAATGGGGGTCCCAACGTTACAATTTTCTGTCTATCCAACCAAAACTCAAATCTACCAATCATTGACTCCAAATCACACACACCCACTTCTAAGACTCACAATCAGTCACACAAACCCTTCTATCACCAATGGGAATTAACCAACCCCCATTGACTTCCTCCCTATAGCAACGAGTTTCCTTCAGTCTCCCAGTCCCAAGAACGATGGAAAAAGCAAAAACTGACCGAAAGTTGCCGAACTGTGCAGAGCTTTCTACTGGAGAAGACGGGGAAAGCTAGATTCGGTTTTCAGATGGCGCGATTACGCGGCCGGAAAAAGTCTCGTTGCAAATAAGAAACGAAAGTAAGGTCCTCCGTAATTTATCGAGGGGCGTGGAACGAGTGGCGGAAAAAGAGGTTAGGTATATCCAGCGGATTCGAACTTCTCCGCTCCGTCAGTTCCGGGGGCTGGTGTCGCTGGTGTCGCTGGTGTCGCTGGTGGGATCCGAACGCAAAAAGAGGCGAGAAGACCGGTTGCTGGAAAAACGAAATAACTTCATTGCTCCAACTTCCTGATGAATCGTCGCGAGGAACTCCGATTTCGAGAATCCAACTTGGAATAACGTCTGACTGACACAACTACCGAGAACTCGAAACGCGGTCGATTCGATTCGCGACTTATTCGCGAGTTTCTCGCGATCTGCTGATTCCGTGAAGCTCGCGGTTTTTCTTACTTTCCACTGCCATTTGCATCTCCGAGGGATGCTGTCGAAACTCGGGCCATCGAAGCTCGCTTCCGAGAACGACGTCGATGGAAACGTTGCTTAACTGCGAGCTTGGGGGTCGCAGGGGGTACGAATGCCTGCGTTTTTCGTGCATGGAGCGGTTAGAGACTTGCAGGATAATTGAAGGCAACAGAAACTCGTTTGAATATCGCTCGAGTGGAGTTCAGATAAGAATTTAGAGAACATTGTGGCAGAAAATGGTTTATTGATCGAGTAAGGGGGTTGATTGCAGCGTGGTGGTTAAGGTAAAAAGTATTCTATAGATGTCTAATGGACGTAGTGCCGATATGGGTGTATCAGGAGCGTTATTTTGTGTGATTAGCTTGATGATGTGAATTTTGCTGATAGGAATAAGTACTATGGTATGGAGATATTAAAACGTAGGGTAAGAGGTGGGTAATAAGTAATATGATTGAAGATATTTCTCGATAGTATTAAATCTTTCATTATGATAAAATACGAGGTACGACAAAAATAATCAGAATGATAAGAATCCTAATTTAATATTTCTTTATATTATAATAATCGACTTCAAAAGGTAGCCAATGTTTGTTACACTATCAGAGAGATGTCAAAGTATTTGAAAATTCAAATTTAGGATATAATTCGTTTTCCATAGATTTGGATAAATAGCATGACTGATAGTACTTCGGTGCCATAGCAATTAATTCATCCCCTAACCAAAATAGGCACTTGAGGTTTCCTTGATCTGTCACAACCCTATCTGTGGCGAATGTCATCCCCATGGACTCCATGATGGTTTCACGGTGGTCCCCAAGACGACTACCTACGAAGGTTCCAAATTAATTTATTTACCAATTAAAATCGTCACTCCTTCGTTTTAATATCTAAGACGAACATCAGGCCCCAGATAAGCCAATTCTTTGAAAATTAATTTGCTGTTCAGATACATCCTCATTGAACTCTGTAATTATATCGTCATTCAATTCCAGGATAAAGTATAATTCAATTTCTTCATATTCTATTTCTCGTTTCGTTACTAAAGACAGGAAATCGGAATAAATAAATACTACCTGAGATTCCGTATTAAAAAATGGGACGAAAATGTGGAATAACATTTTTCTATACGTGGTTTTATTTCCGAGAAAATTGACTCGGAATATTACGCGGGGCGCGTGCACGTAACTACTACACCCAGCTAGCGGACCTCGTTGTAAACTACCATTTCCACTCACATTTATCTTCCCAAATATTTCCAATGTAATTTCTTTTTTTTTTTTTTTTTTTTTTTTTTTTTTTTTTTTTTTTTTTTTTTTTTTTTTTTTCATCAGTGGTATCATATTTATCTTCTCGTCGAGTACAGACGAGATCAATCGTCAATCTACCGACATGACTACGCACAGCGACGTCACGCCATCGAATATTTAAGCTCAATTTTTTCGAAATCGAGGCCGCGTACGAAAAAATTCTACTCTACCTTTTCGATTCATTTTTTCGCGTAGAATCACGCCATACCCGATTGCACCATCGATCTGCACCATCGAGTGAAATCTTCGCGTATGAAATGCATATCCCTGCAAGAATCTTCAACGATCATTCTTTAAATTCCTGGAAGAGGACACGTTTAAATTCGCATTTGCAGAGATTTAATTTTCCATTACTCGCGCAAACTCGAAGGGTTTTAGGAATGGAAATAAACAATTTCGCAGCGTTCGACGATCGGGGGGGGGGGGGGGGGGAAGGGGAAGGCTGCAATCAGAATATTGGTCGAGAGAAATTGCGTTAAAGACAAAACGACGTACGCTATTGGATTTTGCAAAATTCCAATTATCGGCAACGGAACGTTTTTAATTATCGCGAATTATGTTGCACATTGTTTTTAATATCGATGCAGGTCTCCCTCTTTCTCTCTCTCTCTCTCTCTCTTTTCCTCTTCGGGCATTGTAATCCAGTCGTTCGAACGATAAAATTACGACGCGAATAAAGAACGAACCAATTTTCGTTTCGCGATACGAACAATATTTCCGTAATAATATCCGTTATGAAATAAATGCACGCTTTGCATCGGCATTTTGTAGAAATCGGTGGAAATTTATTCCAGACAAAGCTTACGTTTTGCACCATTTTCTTAATCTGCTTGATCCCCTTCCACCAAGTAATTTCTGCTTCTGGCCTAGAACCACTCGTCCTGCACTCGACGTCGTAGTTCTTGCCAGCGGAAACTCGAGGCTCCTTCGTCAAAATCTGCACGACCAGTGGCTTTACTGAAAGAGAAAAAGAAAAGGAAACTGAGCGTC